TTTTTGGACAAATACAATTTTTGACATTGGGCTTATTCTATGCTGGCACATTACCTTTGATGACTACAAAACCATTCATTTTAAATAATTGTACAAAAGTCGAACTTGAATTCTACAAAAATATGACTCCTCAACAAATTGAATCAATCTTAAATTCAGTATCACAAGTCAAATATTTGAACATTATATAATCAGACTATTCAGTGCAAGAAGCCGGTAGACATTGGGAATATATCTTAGAAAACATATGCAAAAGTGTTCTCAAGTTCGATTTAATGATTCGGTTTACTAAAGATTATGGTTCTTCAGAATATCCTCTAACTTATTGGAATCAAAATACATTTCGAACTTTATATTGATTCGAAAGAAAGACAAAAACTAAATATCTAGATCATGCATTTCCTGGATTTGTTGTTCACTTTGATATTCGAAAGAAGAATTCTATTTGAATATAGAATGAGTTACATCTATAAAAATGAAGATAATCATCAGTAATAAAATCAATTATAATTTCATTTGCAACTTCTTTAATACTATTTGCAACATGATCAACTATTTTTACTGATGCCTTTTTTTTTCTATGATATTCACACTCACACTCTCTAGAATATATATTTTTTGTTAGTAATAAACAAGTAACGCTCCTCCGAGGACTCGCTTAGCTCTTTCTCGTAGGAATCCATTTTCTTCACATTTACTGAAAAAACAAATAAAAAACGTAAAAAAGTTATTTTCGATGTTTTTTGACCTTTCACCCGCACCCACCCACCCCTAGCTATGGTTACCCAACTGACCTCAGATTCGAACTCCCCGCATCGAAAAACCTCGGGAAATGTCTTTTTCAGAAAATGGATTTTCGATGTTTTTTTGACCTTTCACCCACACCCACACCTCCCCCCCCCCCGTCACCATGGTCACCCAACAGACCTCACATTCAAACTACCCGCATCGAAAAACCTCGAGAAATGTCTTTTTCGGAAAACTAATTTTCGATGTTTTTTGACCCTGCGGACACACAATCAAGCAATCAAGCAAACAATTTATTTCTGCTGGACTCTTCTCTACGAGAAAGAGAATTAGTTAAAATAATTCGTTGTCTTTTCTTAGAAATATAAATTAATTTTAATTTATATTCTAGCAGTGTTATTTCACATTTTCATTAGCGTTGTATTGAGAAGTAAAATAATGTTTTCATACCCAAGTCGAACCATCGACAGATCCAATTTGTGTTATTAAGTCAGCAGCAATGGACTGTGAACTATGTGCTTTTGATTTAGGTAAAACATTGGTGGTAACGTCTGCTTGCGAAGATTCTTTCTGAGAGTAAACTTTGTTGAGAACTGTTCTGGGATCATTTTCTGGAATCAATTTTAAAGTTCTCGTTTCAGATTTGACTGAAAAATCATCAGATTGAGCTTTTTTTCTTCGTAGACGTTTAGAAAGCCAATCTCGGCATTTATTTCGTGGTTTCGTCAATACACCAATCTGTTCACATACATTCTGAGCCATATGATCAATATTATTTTCATAGCGAATCATAGTTTTATCATGCAAAAGATCTTTCACCGAAGATCGATTGAAATTGAAATTAGGTTCTGTCGCAACTACAATTATACCTTTTTTTTCATCTCTTGATTTATTAGTAGAAATAATGTAAGATAATTCTTGAAATTTGTCAGTACTTTCACCATAAGCTGTTGATGCTAAGATAATAACTGTTGTTGCTGATATAATATTTGGAGATATGTATTCCCACATATCATTAGACAGTTTAACATTGTCATAATCAACCCAAATTGATATTGGCGTTCTCTTATGCAATTCTGTTACAAATTCTTTACAAAACTCTATATCAGTAGAATCATAACTAATGTAGATTTTCGATGACATTTCTTTTTTCGGTTCATTTGTTGATACAGCTTGTTGAATATTACACCAAATACGCTTTACATCATCGCTTTTTAGACGTTTGGCGAGGCTTTCTATGATTATACAAAAATGTTTATTTTCAATTACTTGTTTTAAATATTCTGGATAACTAGAGATCTGTAATAGAATTCTAAGTAAATATTTAACAGCACGTTTTTCTAGTTCTTCTGGTTCAGGATCCAGCAGAACTCCATAAAGAGATAAAAACAGTTCTGTAAAGTAATGTATTGCTGTTGATTCTTCATTAATTTTATCCTCCAAAATATGTTTTATTACGTATGTGTTTGTGAAAGCACGATCTAATAATTCCAACAATTCCGATAAATGACATCCTTTAAACTTTAAGTTATCTTGCTTATCAGTTTCCTTACACGATCGATATAACTTTTCGCTAGTATCAAGAATAAGTTTTTTGTTATCTTCCGATTGTTCATCACTAGTGGCCAGTGCGATTAATGCCCAACCATAAGTTTGTGTCAACTCGCTATCGTTTTCATCGTTGATTAACTGCTTACGTTCCATCAAAATGTCGAAAGCTTTTTCTGTACGAAGCTGTTTTAAAGCTATCTTGTCTCTCGTCAAATTGTAAACAATATTAATTATTAAATCGCCAATAACATCGATATGAGACGCAAATATATCTGTACGAATCCACTGGATAACTTTTTGAATATAACCAACATCAATAAATATAGAAATTATTGCAAGTTTATCGGTCAGATTCCATAATAGACTTAAAATAGTAGTTACTACAGGTAGTATACGCGAAGAAACGTGTTCATTTGTGCTTGTTAGATAATTATTAATAAATTCTTGGAAAGAGATCATAAGAGAACTGTAATTGTTTCGAAATTCTTTATTCGGCTGAATAACTGCTTTGTAAACAAAGTTACTCGCATGGGCTAGGTATTGTGCCACAATATCGTGAAATTCAATGCTGTTTTCTTGTAAGGATTCTTCATTGATATCGATAGAATCTAAATAATTCAAAATATAAGTAGTGAAATATGTAGATTGAATGACGTTTGAGCTTTGCAATATATTACCTTCGGTTGTTACTGTTTCATTTGAAAGAAATCGTTGAAAGCAAATTTCAATAAAATTATCTTTGACGAGGTTCAGAAGTATTACATCGAAAATATTACTAGCAATCACTGGAGAAAATTGTTTCTCATCATTAGAAATACACTATATTAAATAACTCAATGTTCCAAACATTGTTTGAAATGGTTGTCGTGATATAAATAAATCAGATCCATCGATAGCAGAGATACGCATAATTGTATTTAATATTGTAATGAGAAACATTGAACTTTTTTGAAAATCCATTTGACCGAATATTCGATAGATATTCTCAGTCACATTATTGAAAATTGTGTCTATTTCATCGATATTCATACTATTCAAATTAGTTGATAAACTTTCAAGTTTATCAATTTCTTGAAGCAGATTAAGATAATTGAGTTTTGTTGTTTCTAATGTTGGGTTGTCAAGGTCTTCCATCTATAAAAAAATATTGAATATGTTTTAAAAAATCGTCTAAAAGTCTTTTCATTATTTTTATACTCTTTGCCGCTGATTCTATATGTAAAATAGGCAAATTACTTCAATCCACAAAACTGAATTTGTTGTCTGTAGAATGAAGCATTAATAAATGCATCACCACAGAATGAAAAAAAAAGAACATACCAGAGAAAGAAAGAAAGAAAAGAGTGGTATTATATTTGTTAGGGAGAAAAAGAAAAACTTGAAGAAAATTATTTACTCAAATATGCTTTTTCGCTCTTATAGAAAAAATGATTTGGTTGACAGAAGATGAATGCATATTGGGCTAATAATAACATTATCGTATGAAGAATGTCGAAGAGAAGAAAAAAAAACTTCTTTCGTTTTCCTCTGGTCGCCATGCATTTCTTACGCTTCAAAATTTCGGTTACATCCATTTTTTTTAAACTTTTATTCAACTAGTAGAAGATCGACACTTGACGACAATAATTTTTTTTTCGAAATAAAATCAATTAATATTCAACTATGAATTCACTAATTCCATTGGTTATGATGCCTGATAAAGTATGTATCCTATGCTTCTGCTATTCTACTCATTTTCTATTTCTTTTTCTAATGTCAATAATTAGTCAGTATCTTGGAATGATGCTATCAAGCAATTGAAAATTCAAAAGCGAGTATGCAAAACCTTCGTCCCAAAAGAGTAAGTGCATATAATTGTATGAAAATTTTAATAATAGAATAAAATTCGTTAAATTAGGACGAATAAAGAATGTTGTGTTTGCAATTATAATCATTCAGAAAATGACGTCCCACATTTTAATGAAACATGGAATTGGAAAATACACACAGAACAAGAAACTACCGATTGTTATGGAGTATTACCTCAATCAACTAAACGCGTATCTTATATTGTTCTTCAATAAAAAAAAATAATAATTTCATTTTTTTTCTTAATATAGTATTTACGATGTGATGTTGAAACAGACCTTGAACAACTTTGTTCTGTATTGTTGGGTGTATGGAATATGATTACTCCTGGTCTTATTATGCGAATGATAGGTGATATAGATAAAACACCAAATATCAAAATACAAAAAGAACTTTTACAAAGTATTTCTGATGCTGCTATTGCATCTGGTAAGTGATAAATTCATAGAATAATATTTATTGAATGTATTGTCTCTAGATGCATGGATTATTACGAATGGATACAATGAAGAGAGTATTTCAGAATTAGTAGGTGAAATAATGTACACTTGTGAAATGAATAATTCTCATAGAAACTTCAGCGCAATTGCTGTTGGTAAATGGGGGAACATTAATGGTCGTCATAAACTTGACGAAAGGTTTGATATCGTACAATAAAGTCTAGTATTAATTGTATTGAATATGATTATTTTAAAAATTATAGCACATCGTCAACAACACACAAAGGTCATGGACGATACAAACTAGAATTAAATCATACAGAATACATCTTTTTTGATGATGGTACATGTGATTCATTGGATACAGGTGAATTTGCTTCAAACTTCGCTCGACAAATATCAAGTGGTGGAAGACGAAGAAGTCAGTATTTTTTTAAATTAATATTTCTATTATCTATATATTTGTTGTTAAAATTTAGTACCATTAATTACTTTACTCATCGGTGGTACTCCTCATTCACTTTCATCCATATACACTGATTTGAAAAAATCAATTCCAGTTGTAGTTGTTAACGTAAGTCATATATATATACTCAAAACCAAATTCATCATCGAATTTTCTTTGAATTCTATAGGGATGTGGATCATTGGCTGATACATTATATAAATATCTGAAGTTAACTGAGAGTGAGTGAACTATATTTTTCTTCTTTCGTTATCGAAATTTGTTTTATTGAAGGTTCCTATCAATCGTTAAAAGATAAAAATCAGAACAGTGTTAGTCTTGATGAATCATTTAATGCCTCTGAAGATGATTTAGATATACCAACAATTAATGAAACATTTGCAGAAGATGATGATGATGATGAAACTAAAGTTTTATCAACTAGCAGAACGTAACTTTATAGTGAAAAATTAAATAATATTAAATCTATTATATGTATATATACAGAACGAAAGACATGTTACGGCTACTTGGCAAATCTCGTCGCGATTTTATTAAAGATGTACGAGAACTTTATTACAATGGACGAAAGGAAAACTATGAAACTCAAGGTAAAAGATTACCTGTCGGTGAACTATTAAGTTTGGAGGAAGAAAAAGCTCTTGGAAAATATTTATATCAAATGGCGAGTTGTTTAAATGCTCCTCTTCGAGATAAAATTCGTTTTTTCGACGTTGACTCATCAAAATCTCTAAAGGAAACAATTTACTATGCATTTGTACAAGGTAAGTTTTTTTTTATAAAATTCAAAATGAAACAAAATCTTGTAATTGTTTCTTTTTTTTTTTTGTCTTACTTAGCAAGCGATAATCTTTCACAGGAAAAGAAAAAATATCATAAAACTATCGATGAACAATTACATTTGGCACTTCGATGGTGTATTGGTGACACAACTGAAAATCAATCAGCGACTATTACAAAGATTTGGAATGATACCAATAAAGTAGAACGTTACTGTGGTTTCTATTAACACAGTTTTGTCATTTTAGATTAAAGACAATCGATCGTGTTTGATTAATGCACTTAGCAAAAATATGTTAATGTTCGTTATGAATATTATGAAACTCGATATTGATTTAGCTATTTTATTTCGTTCTACTGATAATTCATTAACAAAAATTGGTACACATTGGTCTGATAAAAATCATTATTTACATGAATTATATTTGGATAAAAACCGCAAAAATGTAAGACTAATCTATTTTTTGTATTCAATGATTAATCTTTTTTTCTGTATACAGAATGATCCATTGTATTTACTGGATCACATCAATTCGGAAAACAATTTTACAAAAGAAGATTTAGTAACTGTTTTAAAATACCTAGTAGGTGATTTTATGCCTTCATTGTATGATAGTCAATCACATACTAAATTGATGTCATCAGAAACAGAGAAACTTAATGATAAAGAGAATACAGATGCTGAATATATTTATCGTGATATTTTTCTTTGGTGTATATTAACCTATCGTCTTGATATGGCTAAAATCTTTTTAAGTCAAATGAAAACTCGTATTTGTTCGGCACTGATTGCTTCGAAAATTCTTAAATCATTCGCAGATTATGCACCGGATCAAGCTGCAAAAGATATATTGTTTGCCAAAGCGAATGATTTTGAAACTCATGCTATTGAATTTGTACGATGTGCTTATGTTAAAAATAAACATAAAGCATGCCAATTAATTATGCGATCTACGAATCTCTATAAAGGTGTTACATCTCTTCAAATGGCTTTTGCTGCGGATAATAAAAGATTTATACATGAAGATGCTTGTCAAGCTTTGTTAACAAATATATGGTATGATAGAGTTGATCCTGTTCAAGAACAAAAACTTCTAGTTGTTAATATACTTACATTTGGAATTGCTCAAATTTTTATATCGATTTACCTAAAATATTTTTCCAATAATACTAATGTGAAATCCAAAAATCATGTAAGTTAATAACATCTGTACGATGAATAATATGTCCATTTCTTTTTTTATTCATTGATAGAATGTAACCAATCAGGAACCTCCAAAACGGCAGTACGTATTCAGTAACACAAATACACAATATCTATTTAAATAAAAAAAAATAATTTTAGATTGGAAAAAAATGGTATCGATTATACTGACGATTATGGTATTGATGAAAAAATATTTCGACATTTTTTTCATTTTCATAATCGACCCATTACTAAATATTGCTATACTTGTGTAAGTTCAATTATGTTTAGTGGGAATTTTTTCATATTGTCATATATTTCATTTTAGTTGGGTTATATTCTTTTCCTAACTTTCTTCAGTTATTATATGCTCTTTGCATTCCATCCATTATCAAAAAAGAATCCCAATATTCATTGGACTGAAATATTGACTATCATTACTATAACTACCATGCTTTCTGAAGAAATTCGACAGGTTTGTGTTTTATTCTTTGACTATAATTCTACACTTTTTGAGTGCTTAATTAAATAGTTATTATCTCAAGACAATCGAAAGCTCATTGGCAAAATTCGATCATATTTTGATTTGAATAATCGAATATCAAATTTGTTTCTGGTTCTACCACAATATCTTCTATTCTATACTGGCCTTGTACTTCGTTTTACACAAAAAACTCCTGAGAGTTTTGTATCTGCACGGTAAATTTCATGATTAATTTAACAAGTAACGCTCGTCCACGGACTCGCTTAGCTCTTTCTCGTAGAAATGCATTTTCTTCACATTTACTAGAAAAACAAATGAAAACCGTGAAAAATTGGCTTTCGGTGTTTTTTTCACCTTTGACCCCTCTTGAACCTTCCCCTCCCCCCCCCCACATGGTCACCTAACAAACCTCAGATTCAAAGTCTCCGCATCGAAATACCTCTAGAAATGTCTTTTCCTAAAAATTGGTTTTCAATGTTTTTTTGACCTTTCACCCACACCCATCCCTAACCATGGTCACCCAACAGACCTTAGATTCGAACTCCCCGTATCGAAATACCTCTAGAAATGTCCTTTCCAGAAAATCGATTTTCAATGTTTTTTTTACCCTGCGGACACACAAGCAAACAATTTATGATTACTGGACTCTTCTCTACGAGAAAGAGAATATTGGAAATATTTTTCATTCTATGTTTTTTTTTGTAGAATAGTAATGGCTTTAGATTTAGAATTATCGTTTATTCGTTCGATTTTATTTATTGGTATAGTTGCAGATATTGGTCCTAAAATTGTGATGATTCGAAAAATGGTAGGATTGATTGTATTATGATGATTTTATATTATTCCATCGTCGTTGTAGACTAATGATCTTTTTTTATTCATTATCATCATCGTTATATTTATTTTCGGCTATGGAGTTGCATCAAGATCCATGACAGCATATGGTACTATTGAGTTCAATGGCCGAAATATTTTACGTGATATAATCTATCCTGTTTATTATTTTGTTCATGGTAGCTTCGATAATGAACGTACACAGTTGGAAGGTATAGAAACATCGTCTTAAAAAAAACTATTCAATATTTATCGAAATATATTCGTTCATTTTTTTTTGTAGCTGTACCGGACACAAGTACGACTATAGCTACACAAGTTATATTCGCTTTTCATATGCTTTTTGTTAATATACTATTGATTAACTTACTGATTGCTTTATTCAGGTATGTAATAATTGAGAAGAAAAGAATTTAAGCAAATATTCATTTAGTTTTACAATAAATGATATTCAAACACAAGCACATTATGTTTGGGCTTACGATCGTTGTGAGATTATTCGTATTTATCATGCTCGACCAGCATTGTTTCCTCCATTTACATTTCTTATCTCAATTGTGCGACTTTTTCGATGGTGTTGGAGAAAACTAAACAAAGATCATTATGCGAATAGAATGTTCGATGAAGAGCATTCTCATTGTTTCAGTAAATGATATTTTCAATTAAAAGCGCATGTATGTATCTAGTTATATTCTATAGAAATGATTCCATTTAATGATGCTGTTGATGAGGCATGGTCAGAATTCGAACGATATTCAACCAATGGTTACATTCGACAGTTGCTCGATGATCAAACAACTGCACTTATCAAAGGAACGACTATAGATGTTACGTAAGTTGTAAGACTTGACTGCATGGAGAGCGAGGATATTGTAATCATTCTAAGTGAGTGTAAATATTCATGATATACATATATAGGTCTGAATCTTCAACAAGCGATGCTGATGAATTAAAACGTATCAAAACTCTCGTAATTGATATTCAAAAGAATTTAGAAGAATTCCAAACAAAAAATAACGAGAAATTAGAGTCGATGAAATCTACTATCACTGATCTTCATACACGATTTGTTCAAGTAGAAGCTCGTGACCGATTAATCAGCGATGTGAAAGTAAGTTTCTTCTATTTTTACTTCTCTAACAATATCCATCTAAAATGTGGAAATAGATACCAGAAGCAATGAATTGGGTGATGATGGCAATGAAAAATGCAAAAATGAGCGAATCAGAGCCTCCTCTCATTAGAGAGGCATCAAGTAAGCGGCTTAACATTTGAACTCAGTTATATTTATTTCATTTTCAATACATTTTTATTTTATATCACTATTAGGAACTAATTCAATCAGTCAAAAACAAGTGACTGATACGACCCATCATCGATCTAATCAACAATTGAATAAAGAATATACAACAACAACAACAGGACAGTCATTTTTATGGCCAGAGCATTCAATAAAACCTGAAATTCGTATTGAAATGACTTTTCCACCAAGAGATGCTAATAATGTTTAGAGTTTTCACTCATTCACGAAAAACTATTTACACTATTTTTTAGTTTTTGTGATAAATTAAATGATTGCATTTATCTTTTCCTAACACGCGTTACTTTTTTCAATGTAATCATTTTCTTAGTTAGAACTAACTAGATCAAATTATTAAAATAGAAAAAAAAACAATCATCCATCGTTTTATCATTTCTTTCCAGGTAAATCAATTACATTTCAGCGAACTTCCTCTTGTCTCTTCATTATAACATTTTATTATTCGAAGTCATCAGAAAACATCTTTGAAAGTTTTGCTATTGTTATATCAAAAATGTTTCGTTTTATCTTCACTAAGAACAAGCTTTCGGAATTTTACTACTGCAATATGTAATCAGCCCAGTTTTACACTTGCTGTAGCATTATAAAATACTTTTTTAAAATCTCCATTATTTTCTTTTATATAATTTACTTGTCATACATCAAAAGTTCAAAGCAAACATTTGGGTGTGGGTGTGGGTGTGGGTGTGGGTGTGGGTGAGGGTCACTTTTCTTCTTCATCACGCACATCCACACCCACACCCACCCTCAAGATGTGATTCCATCCGATTCCCACCCAATGTAATTCCGAGAATTCCGTTCGAGAATTTCATCTCGTCGAGAGAACGAAACTTTAGATTAATGGCTTCGATCAGCGATTCCGGAATTGGTGGGAATTCCGGGATTGCCGTGTGATTCTAGTTGAGGGTGGGTGCGGGTGTGGGTGTGGGTGTATGTAGCTTCTTCTTACACTCACACCCACACCCACACCCACACCCACACCCACACTCACACCCACACCCACACCCACCCTGAGAAGAGTAAGAGTAATGAAAGACAGCAACTACACTCACACTCATACCCTCGCCGAATCTAAGCAAGAAAAAAGAAGTATGTTTGATTTCATCAGACACTTAGTGATCGACAGATTTAGCTGAAAAAAAACCCTTATTTTTGCTCATATTTACGTCTAACTGATCATCTTATTAAAGAAAAAGAAAGAAAACTTCTTTTCGACTGTTTGCATTCACCACTCGAGTCATAACTTTGGTTAATATGTGCTGCAACAACAAAATCATGCATAGGTAACTTAATATGAGTGTTCTTTTGTGATAGAACAGAAAAAGTAACCAAAGCAATATGCATACATGCATGTGCCATTTGTGTTTCATACGAGCACACGACAGGTTTGTTACTCTTGTTGTTCATGTTAGAAAACAGAGATCGGCGGGACAGCGAGATTATCCCGTCCCGTCCCGTCTCGCCGCGGGACGGGACACGTTTTTCAAGGCTTATCGCGGGACGAGACGGGACGGGACGGGATAAAATTTTATATGGAATTGTCCCGCGATCAATATTCATTGAGTTTATATACTCCAGTGACTTATTTACAAGAAAAACGCTAAATATTGTTAGTAACGGTATCTTTTAAAGAATATTTGAATAATCTTATTCGCTATTTCTTATCCCGAATATATGATCACTTTTATCCTTATCATCCACATGAAACCCATACTATATATATATTGTCATTGTTCTACAGAAAGAAAGAACATAAGTCTTTCTTTGGTTTAATAACAATGAACTTGTACTAAGTGAAAGAAAGAATATTCGAGAACGATGCTGTATATTTGCTTTGTCTACAGCTCCTATATAAGGTCAAGTTGTAAATGAACGTCGAACTAATCTTTCTTCATCTCAAGTAGATAATATTTTACTTATTTGATCAATATTATTAAATGGTTATTTTTCTATGAACTAAACTTTTTTCGAATTGATTTTTTTAATTATTTAATACACTTATTTGAAAATAAATAGTTAAAAAAAATAAATAGTAAAAGAAAACTAATAATGAAATACTACATAAACTTTTATCGCTTAAAAAATATATTGATAAAAATTTTTGATAAGAAACGGCGGGATAGACGGGACGGGACGCTGAGATTTTTTTTGCGCGGGAGGCGGGACGGGATAAAAAAATCCTTGTCCCGCCGATTTCTGTTAGAAAAGCATTCCGAATAAGACTTTATGCGTGTGTATTCGCGATTTGTTTGATTTGTGTTGTAGATAAAAATGGGTCAGCAATTGTCCCATGCTCATGAAAAATTTCTCTCGATAACCAATAATGATACCAACGCGCCGCTGACATCCGATGCGATTATTTCTCATAGTGGTAAAGACGATATTTTGACATTATTAAATGCACAAAATCCGCAGCTATTTTCGAAAAGACTTCATACCAAACAAATACAAAACCATCTGTTTCAACTGACGAATTCCGTCGAATACGACGCAATCAATCGTGAAATATATGGTATACTCTTCGAAAATGTTTTCAAGACGGATCTTGCCAGTCGTTGGCAAACGATAATTAGCGAAGTGCAGGCTCTATTTGACCGAGAACAAAAATTACAAATTGATTTAACGAAAAAAATTCAAGAGGAGAAGAATGTTGATCGATCGATATTTCATCGTAAGGACAAAAGTGAGCGTCCCGCTCAACAATTACCATATTTTGCCATACAATCGTTGACATCCGTCTTACTGATTCTGATCAAATCTGCCGAAAAACATGATCCAACTATTGTACAACAGATATTAACATTAGCCAGTGAATTGTGTGAACAGCTGCCGACGAAATGTTTATCATCCGTAACAGACAGTTCTTCCCTTGTCAAAACCTTAAGACCATTGACCACTTATATTAATGATCTATTATCACGAGAAGATCCAAGTATGAGGAAGCAAGCGACAAAAATCCTGCTATGTTTTGGACTGGCAAAGAATTCATTGAAAGATATTTTACCAATTGTGAATAAATTGATATTTCAAATGGATGAGATTTATGATGCTCAAGGTCTACTAATGGAACTTAACAATAATCTGATAGATGCACTGGACGAATTCGAAACGAAAAAGGACATGGTATCGATTCCGTTGGAATATTTAAAATCCATTGGAGTTTATCCAACTGATCAACTGATGAAATTAGACGATAAGAAATTTACTGGACATCTTCTTGCATCAGCCATCTTGGCACATATTGATATTGATCATATCATTCATGCCGATGAACATTTCAGTAATGCATCGATTTGTAGTACACTATTTTTAGAATTTCATTATGAGACATTTCAACAATTATTTCATCTGATCCAACAATCAAGTTCAAATGTTGACTACATATTAACAGTATGTTTACGATTATTTACCACACATCTGAAATATTTATGTGCCGTTCATTCGACTATCAATGGCGATATCTTAACAACGAATCATATTCTCAAAGATGCACTGAAATCTACTTCTTCCTCACAAGAAAATTTCGATTGGACACAGTTTGCAACTAATACAGAATTCGACCAATGGTATGAACTCTTGTTGAAACTTGCTTGCTCGAGCGAGAAACAGAATCCTACCACTATGATCATAGCCAAAGAAGCATCTCAAGGTCTTGTTTTCCTGCTCGATCAAAAGATGTCATTTCTTGACAAACTCTCATTTATTTATCGATTTATTCTCGACAATAAATATCCTACACTCATTGAATGTCTCTGGACTGAACTCTCAAAAACAACAACATTACTATGTTGGATTGAAGTGCTTGTCAACGAACAAACTCAATCAAACAATGATTCTGCCTTAACAATCTTATATTCATTCATCGACATGTATTTCAAGCCACCAGTCCATTTCACCGACGAAAACAAACAACGAACTAAAGACATAGTACATAGATTCCAAGAACTTCTATTCTTTCGTTTGGGACCCATCTTTGAAAAGAAACCCGAGCATCTTCCGCTGTCGACTGATATTGATCATATTTCAACAGCATCTTCTCTCGTCGTAATTAAATATCTGATTCGAATTTTGAATAGCTGTCTCGAAAGTGAACAGAATATGCCGACTATATTCAGTGACATTCTTGCTGGTTTGTACTTGATGAGTGAACAAGAAACAGGTTTAACCTTCTTTTCCGTTCAACCGATCTTCGTCACGTTATTACCATTATTAGCTGATCATATGATACGAAATAAAATTCATGACGAGTATGTTCTTTCGTGGTTATTAGGTCGAATGAGTACCTATCTCATTGCTAGTCCACCAAAGGACGCTTTGGAAACAAAACATGTCAATAGGTTAGATTCACTTTTATTTATGAATGGCTGTGAACCCATGGTTATTGAAAAGAGTCCGTACCTGATGGATTTATTCAAATCTGATCTAGCTATGTACACTCATTTTCAATGGAATCATCAGGAACGAAAACAATCGTCGTCTTCAGACGATGCATTTCTTCTGTCCATCTATCACAATCAAGATCAAGGTGCTAAATTAATCTCGAAAATGAAATTACATCAAAAAAATAAACAACGTTTCTTGCCAAAATCTATCCAACAGTTTGTTAATGATGCTTGTGCAGCGATTTTTGCTGTCTATATCAAACACTATCGTCGAATTTATCTAGCCAAATCGGAATTAGTTGGATCTGAAAACGAAAAACCGCACGAGAAACTTCTCTCCATTTATGACTATGCCAGTCGTGTTCAAACGATCTTCAGCAAAACCAAAGCACAAGGTGGTGATTGTAATGATCTATTTAAACGCATCCAAACCAATGCTTTATTTCTGCTCGTCTCTGTCAAAGAGAATAGTGTCATTCCAATCGTCGAAGACAATCTGCTACACACACCCAAACCGAGTCCACCGAGTTTATTACGTACCAAACAACACCGTGCACCACAAATTCAGCGACAAGAGTCACGTTGGACAAAAGCCAAGGCTATTATTCGATTACTTCGAATTTCTTTACATGCTTGTACTCGATTGAAGAAATTGATGATCTCGAAGAAACAAAGCATCGAACAAAAATACGATCCAGAACAGGTTCTTCATCGTCTGATTGATGATTATGTCTATGAAGACAAGCAACACGAGTCCGATGAGCTCATGCAATGTCTTTGTCGACAACATGAACGTGCCATGACACGACTCGTCACATATCTATTTAATGAAGCATTCCTTGCGAAAATCTTCACGATGGACGATCATAGTCGAGCATTATCGATCCTTGCTCTTTATCTACCTCAGATGAGACATGCCAATCTCGTCGAATGGACTCATGCAGAGAACATTCAAGCATGCAACAATGAACTGAAAGATGCTATTGCCAAGAGTTATTATGCATGTATTCATATGAATCTTTCTCATCTCTTACAATCGCTAATCTTGATACCATCGATATTCCATCTGTTAAATCTTTCCTATCGATCTCTCGATATTCATTATCTCGATCATTATCAAGTCATCCAAACATTATGCAAAACCTATGTGAATTTCGCGGACAAATCCGATTCATCACTTTCGTTGAAAACTAAACTCACCGGATACACTTGGTTTCGATTATTTGTTTATAAACTTTGTGATAATATCCAAGAAGAACAAGCACATGGACTAGTGGCCAACCCATTGCTCCATCAACAACGAGACTTCATTTTTCGATCGATCATCATCGGTCAATTGCAAGAGTTGAAACGATTGAAACAAACATTATCCACGGCTACGGAAGAAGATCAGACTGATTCTCTTAGTCATCCGTCTCTTGGATGGTTCATTAAACAAACGACGGCTGCCAGTGATGATATCGAACTGTGTCTGAATCAATTCTTAGCTCTTCTCCTTCGTTGTGTTCATCTCTATGAACATGTTCGATCATGCTGTGCAACGATCGAATGTGTCGATGTACTGCTCGATATTTACCATCACAGTCAACATCAAAGTACGCGATTACTAGCCACGAAAGTCTTACGCGACATTATCTGCTTCGTACCAGAAACGAGAAATGAACGAGCAATTACAATGATGAAAGGTCTATTCAACGAACTCTTTGTGTCAATTATGAACAGTTCTACTGAGATCATCACCGAATCAATTAACATTTATCGAACATTAATGTCTGTTAAGTCGGCCTGGCAATCAGTCGCTATACAAAAAGTATTCGATTCTATCATGTCGATGTCGAACAATTACGAATCTCTGATCAACACTGACAAAAATAAATGGAATGATCTTGTCGTGGCATTATACATCTTAGGTGGATACCTTCAACCTTTTGGTTTAGGATCAATCGTTCGAATGTATGTCGACGATGAAGACATTGATGAATTTGAATTAGGTCTGATTACTGGAATTAATAGCGATGCTCGTGATCAAGACAGTTCTGATGTCTTACCCTATCTTGTTCAGTATAGTCAATCGGAGAAATCCGAATGGAATTCAGCTGATAAACTCTTCGTGAACATCGATGTCTTACCACCGAATTTATTGTCGATGTACAATGAAAATGATCCCATGATTATCACTTTCCATGCTGTTCTTGACACAATCGGATCGTTTTTACAAATTCCGACATCACCCAACACAACGTTGCTATTACTTCAATTGAAACGTTATGCTATCACGGTTATCTATCGACTATTGAACAACAGAAATATTGTGGAAATTTTCATGGAAAAACCTTATGCAAGTGTCATAGCACAATTAGCACTTGGAGGCAACCATCTCATGCCAAATGATTTACGTCTATTCAATCGACAACATCTCGAGCAATATTGTTTAAGTTTAGACAGATGTGTTCAATCGAAAACAATCGTCGAAAAGGATACTGATGATCATAATGAATCATTTCAAAACGATGCATTGTCCACCTCGGATACTACTGCCGACGATTCCTTGTATGTTGTCTGGAATACTAAACGAACCAATCGTGATCAATCGGTCATTGATGCGTTGTCCGCAAGTGCCTTGAAATATGGCGGATGGAAGGCGAATGCATCCGAAATCGAAATCGAATTGTACAAACAGGGACGACATGGAAGTGAAACGATCTCGATTGTCTCCATACCACGTGAACTTGCCAAAGCACAAGCATTCGAAGAATGCGGAAATAAACAGCGATTTAATGGGCGCATCGATATGGAATCAAGCGGGGTTTCACCTGGTTTTCCGACGTTTACTTTCGACAATCTGCAGCTGAGTGAAGGTAAATGGTACTATTGTGTGAGACTACCAGCTGCTGGTCTTGTTCAAATCGGATGGGCAACAGCTGGGTTCAAGCCTGACGCGAGCGATGGTGTTGGTGTTGGTGATGATGAACATTCGTGGAGTTATGATGGTTCACGAAGTGTTCTCTTTCATAATGGTCCGTATAATTTTCCATCGTCGGAAGTTCTCCTATGGAAAGAAAATGATGTTTGTGGTTGTGGAATTGAAATCGACAAAGAAATCACTCGAATCAAATACTGGTTAAATGGAAAGTTCTTAGGAACAGCTTTCACGCATACAACAGATCCAACTCCATCAAGACTTCAATGCAATATGAAGCCAAATGGACGTAGTACGACCTACTTTCCTTGTGTGACTTTACAATTATATTGTGCGACGGATTGTTGTGAACTGATCGTCAGTGCAGAAGATATGGATGAATGTCCAATACCAGCAGGATATAAACCACTACTCACGCCGAATTTAGTCCATGTTGAAAACTCGATTGTTGCCTATCCATACAGTGCTTATCTGGTCGGTGATGATATTCAAGATTATTTACATACGTCTTCGGAATCGAAAAAGTCTGCGTCTCTGCTCCGAGATTTTGTCAATGAACATCATCTAGAAACGACATGCACGCTCGACAATCAATGGCTCGTCGTGCCTGAAAATTCGGGTGGTTTACCTGTTCCACTGAATCCGCTCGAATCGTCATGGACAATTAGTTTTGATGTGAAACTTCCATCCGATGAAGATAGTGCGAACAGCAAACAGGATCTTCTGCTATTGAAATTCGATCAACGAGAGATGTTTCCAATATCGATCTCATCCAATGCAAGTGATGATAATGAGGAGAAAGTGATACACGTCGCTATTGTCTGCAGTCTAGACGACCAGCAAACCAAAGTCTATCTCAATGACAGATGTCGAACATTTATCGGAGGACTCCATGCGAACACAATCGCGGACTCCAAATTGTTTCTCTTACCGAACGGCGGTGTTCGGATTCGTAATCTTGGTCGATGGAAATATGCACTGTCCGAAGAACATATTCGTCGTCTATTTCTCTATGGCCTCTTCTACGTGGCTGCTGATTATCATGAACAGCAGAAATATCGTAAACAAGCAAATACATTTTCGTTCTCGGAAGCTCAACCAAGGTTCTCTAGCGAATTACTCGTTCCATTCAATAAACCATTTGAAGAAAATCACTGGGTGAACAAGAAAAAATCAGGTACAATTGATAGTTCGAACTATTTCACATTTGATGACTCGTCGATTCAACTCTTCGGAAACAAAACGTATCTTGTTCTCGACATATCTGGCCAACAACACTCGTCACCATTAATACTTATACTCGATGTTTCCATTCCGAAACTTCCCATCGATAATGAACAATTGACACTGGTTGTATTCACTCCTGAATTACGCATTATTCTCAAACATACCGGTCATCTTGGCTTCTTCAACGAAGATCAGATGCAAACAAGTGACGAGATGATAATCTTGAATGAATTTGTTCGTTTATTGATTTGTCTCGAAGAACAAGAGATTAAAGTGTATCAAAATGCTACGTTAATGCTGTCTGTTCAGGTGAATTATGATCAGATTCGATCCACTGTCAAGCATATTGATCTATTCCGTGAACTCGATCTTACAAAGAATACCACCAATGAAAGTACACTTCGACTACAATGTAAATCAATCACATTTCGCAGTCAACCAATAGCCGCCACGGATATCGACATGTACATGAAATCACCGATGTGTTCTCTCGAACCATGGCTTGCACCGCCCTTTTCACTAATGACATCAAGTCTTGTAGCGATTGGATACAAAGCAACATGGATTAAGTTGATGATGGAACAACACAATACGCGAAATCTTCAGCATCTTGATACATTCATTCGTGAACAGGAAGAAGAATTGTCGAAAAAAGACCAGGATAATCAACGAGCACACATGCTTGACATTTTATTCAATATTGGTCCATCGATTGATCAAGAAAAGTTGAAAAACTTAATCACGTTTTCAAAACTCGATATAGATGATGATCTGACAACGATTAGTGAACTGATATTTAATTGTTGGCAAGACCTACAACGATCAACGTCAGATATCATCGAAACAGAGAATGACAGTGAGGAAGAAATGGAATGGTTTTATCGAAGTGTTCGTCGACTAGGAATCAACGGTAGTGTGAATGATTGGATGCAAGACAAATCCAAGAAATACAATGATACTACTGATTCGATTTTTCAACTTCTAGATCTAACCAAACCGAAACAAGATCAAAACATGGAAACTGTACAAAAGCTGACGCAGAAATCTCTCCATTATTCACATCAGTCAGTAACAAAGAAACAATATCTTGACTCACGTATTGCTTGCGAACATGGTCTGATAATGATCTATGCTCGTGAGATTATTTTGAATATACTGCAAGTCTGGTCGACCACTAATCAGTCAAATTTATTTCCATGGGAAAAATTTGGTGATTATACGTTTATTCTCAAACTGATGCGCCTATTAGATTCTCATTCATCGTATGCGAGTACTCGTGCAGATCAACTTGGTGATCGAATGAATGTGATTATTAAGTCAATTCTGCAACTTGAAATCGGTCAATTATTGAAACAAACCAACATGGAGAAGCATCTTGAGCAACAGGCTCCATTACTGTATCACTTACAAAAAGATTTTGTTGTTCAATCGATTCGATTGCTCGAAAATCCATCTTTACTTGTGAAAAACTCGATCAATGAACAAACGTTGAATTTTCTTCTGAAAATTGTTAGTCTATTCTCCGAAATTGTTACTGATCAATCGAGCATGAATCAGAATGACACCGACAAGATTCTTCCAATTTTATTTTCGGATTTACTGATCACTTTGATCTTCGATCTCTTCCTTTTAGTTCCTACTCATCAAGTAAAAATCTGTATTCTTCGTCTCTTTGCCAAGTAAGTTCTTGTACGAAATTTTGTCTTAAGCGAAGTTAACATCGAATGTTTTTTAGTTTAATACAAGCTAGTGACAATTTTAAACTTCGACAAGACATTCTTTATTTTTTAAGTCGCTTATTCATTCAACTATCAAGTGACGTTGCCTCCACAACTGATCACACACTGAAACAATTTTCCTTGAGTGTTACAAACATCATTTATTTACTTATATTGAGAAAAAAGAAACGTATGGAAAGTACAGATGAACAACTGCAGCCAATGTTAGCTCTATGTTTAAAAGCTGTTCGTAATCTCTTCACAGTTCTTGATGTAATTCATACTCTCCAGGATAGAACGAAACAAGCGCCATGGCCGGAAGCTTTTCTTGCACTATTCGACACTATCTCAAATGAAGATCTCAATGAAACAAAGATATATTTCAATGAAACTGCCGATCTACAACTTCTGAACTTGATAAACAAGAAATTATCATCGGACAGTCCTCTTACAGAAATCATTAACTGTCTACCAATGGAATCAGAATCAACGGCAGGCATCTATCAAGAATATCCATTATTATCGAACATTCCCGGCAAATATGTACGAGCACGTGCCACGTTATTCGGTGAATTGGCTGCATTGATTGCAGAAGCTCTGCCGGCTGTCGATTTAAGTTTATCATCAGGTCAAAGTAATCTCTTAGATCAATTTCGTCAAACGAAAATTTATCTGTTCTATATCCTGAAATCTTGTTTACTACAGGAATCTCTCGAGAAAACTATTGTAAGCAATAATGAATATGATAGTCGACCATCAGTTCAATTCGATACATTGAAAGCCAGTCAACCAGGTGAGAACGGTGAAAATACAATGTTCAATCAAGCATTCGAGCAATTATTCAAAGATGCATCTGTTAAATTTCGCCGATCAGATGAACATCTTTGGCATGCGACCTATGTTGGAATGCATAGTATCGATGCCGGTGGACCCTATCGAGATTCGATTACGTGTATCTGTTCAGATATATGTAGTACGCGACTATCATTGTTCATTCTATGTCCAAACGGACGTACAGGTACTGGTTCGAATCAAGATCGTTGGATTCCGAATGTCTTCAAACCGACAGAATCTATTTCGAGTCGAATTCGAAATCAATATCGATTCGTCGGTCAGTTGATGGGCATGGCCATTCGTCAGAAACATTATCTAGATTTAAAATTTTCAACGTTACTCTGGAAACAACTTGTCCGAGAATCAATTGTCTTGGAAGATATCGAAGCCATCGACATACAGAGTTTTACTATTATCAAAGAAATGGAAATGCAAATTGAACAAAGTAACTTGATGGATAACGATGTTGATATTGATTTTCTATTGAGTAGTGTTATGAGTGAACTTCGCTTTGAAGTGGTCGGTTCGGCTGGACAAACGTATGAGCTCATTTCTGGCGGCAAAGATATTCCAATCACTGCAACTAATTTCAAAGATTATTGTCGCAGATTTCGTGAATATCGTCTGAATGAATTTTCTCGACAGATTAATTATATTCGACAAGGTTTGTATAGTATTGTTCCATCGTATTATTTAAGTTTATTTACTGCTCGTGAACTTGAACAAGCCGTATGTGGCAATGGTCATATCGATATTGAACTACTGAAAAGAAATACTGATTATTCTAATGAATTTCGAGAAGATTCACCACATATTCAACGATTTTGGACCGTTCTCAAAGACATGTTCAATGAAGAACAACGAAAAGCTTTTTTGATCTTCGTCTGGGGAAGAAGTACATTACCAATGCGAGATGAAGATTTTACGTCGAGATTTCATATCAATCCATACTGTGGATCTTCCAACGAAATCGATCGAGTACTTCCTCGTAAGTCTAATTGTCAGCAAAAGAAATCAGTCTTTCTTTTCATATGCAATGTCTGTTTTAGAATCACATACATGTAGTTTTGCTATTGATCTGCCAGAATATTCTACGACGGAAATTATGTACGAACGGTTGAATTATGCGGTCACCTATTGTTCGAGTATCGATGCTGATTAACACTTCATTTTCAAAGATTTCATGCTTGAAAAACTGAATTTGTTTACTAATCGTGTGCCTAGTTTCTTACTACTAATATATTATTTTTTAGCCTAGTTAATCACGAATATTTTATGTGAGCTATTGATCGTAACTTGTGACCACTATCTTTTTTTTTCTATCAATATGGAAAACACAGTGAAATATTACATCTTGAGAATGTGGATGCTAACCTCAGACATGTATCAGAGTTACAAGGAAACATAAGCGTGATGATTTCTATATGAATTCTTGAAACTTATGAAAAAGATTTTTTCTTATCGAAAGTGTTTGACAATGACTGCAACATATTGATCAATAATGTTCAACTTCACACGACAAGACAATATGCAAATCGTCTCGATGAATTGACTGTTGATTATGATAGATGATTAATAGGAATATTTACTTTAGGATGAACCTAGTTACGTGATAGTAAAGAACACGACGAATGGCAAAATTCAACATTACTTTATGTCTAGCAACTGTTTACCTTTTTTTGAGGGTGGGTGAGGGTGTGAGTTAGTGGCGGCGCCACGAGTGGGCGAGGGTAAGATGAGCCCACCCAGAATTTGCCTAATTGACAGTAGGGTGTGTGTGGATGTGGGTGTGGGTTTTGTTGTATAGACAATAGACAGCAGCACCCACACCCACACCCTCAAGATGCGAACAATAAGAGAATGCAGAGATTTCTTCGTTGAGACACATTTATACCCTTTGCTTTTTTTCATCTTTCGTCGCCAGAAAAATATGTGAAGTGGCTTTTAATGGACAAAACATTTTTACTTAGTTGATTTTCGCCGTAAACTGCTCCGAATCGGTTCTGTCGGTAGAGTGAACGAAAGGAAGAAAATTGCTAATGCGATGACGGACAGAAATCGATCAACATCTTGAGGGTGTGGGTGTGGATGGGTGTGGGTGGGGATGTGGATAGGTGTGGGTGTGAGTGTCGGTGTGGGTGTGGGTGAGTGTGGGTGTGGGTGGATGGGTGTGGGTGTGGGTGGATGGGTGTGGGTGTGGGTGGATGGGTGTTAGAGTCAAGAGGTTAGACTCACACGTACTCCTCACCCACACCCACACCCTCAAGATGGACAACTGTATAATTTTTAATAAATCTGCCAATATGACTCAAAGAACGAATACGTTTAATAAAATTGTTATGTCAAATTTGAGCCTTCAACGAGAAAAAAGCGTTTATTGAGGATGTGGGTGCGAAGATGAAGAACAGAATATTACTCACACCCACACTCACACAGCGGTAGGAAATATTCTGCTAAGCTTTAACAATTAGTAATTTCATGTACGAAAAGACTGAAAAAATACATAGTTGATTTTGATTAGATGGCTTGATAATGGTGCACGGAAGACCGGCCATAACTAATACATTGTTTCGTTAGAAATTCTTTTGTGAATTGATGGAATAGATTCTAGTTTATCAATCGTCCAAAAATGAACTCTTCATGAGTACTGGCTGAAATTTCTTTTTCATTCTGTTGTCAACTAAAATAATACAACAGAGAAAGGAGAAAGATGTGGATTTTTTCCCTTTTCTTCTCTTTGAAAGCCTGCCATGACAAATGTTGTTGCAATTACATGTTTACTCGCGACTGTGAAGAAAATTCATGGTTATATTTACGTTTGTTTAAAGCACCATCTGAGTCGATCAAAAGAAAAATGTTCGACCGAAGATTATCATGCATTGAAGATCTATCAAATGAACTTTTGCTTGAAATATTCGATTATCTTGACTCGACAAAACTGTTTTTAGCATTTCATGGAATAAATAAACGTATCAACCAACTTCTTGTGTCCGAAAAATTCTTTACACTTTCACTTTCGAACTCTGTTGATGATTCCATTTTCATTAACAAATTTTTTCAGGTTTGATTAATCTACTTTTGTTTTCAACAATAAGAAACTACGATTGAATTTAGGATCATTTAATGGAACGATTTAAACAAGTTCAACATCTCAAATTGACATACACATATTTGACTGAAGATGAATTGACTATTGCTAATCATCTTTCGTCATTCTAAGCACTTACTTCGTTTTTTTTTTTTTTTTTAATATCTATTTTATTGTTCCTTTAACAGGTTAACAATTTATAACTAGCTAGAATAATATATATCTACTTAAGCGATATCAGAGAAGAGAGAAAGAAAGATAACGAAGCATGGTAAGAAAAAGAGATACGGAAGAGAGGAGAGAATAATAAGAGAAGAGAAAGCATGGCTCGACGTAAATGTAACGAGTGATAAAACAGAAAAATTTAAGAGAGGATATAATTTTATTCATTCACTGCGATCATTTATAGATGTAGTTTATTATGATTCTTTATCTCTCTGTATATTGTTATGGAGGATAGACCGGAAAGTATTTTAAAATAAAATATTCAACTGCCGACGATGAATTTTTGAAAAAACCATATTGCATGTTATGTTTTTCAAAAAAGGTAAGTATGTCAATCTTAATATGATGAGCGTTTTTAGCTAATCTATTTACAAATTTACTGTTTTTACGGAATCCCATAGACTTGTAGATCTCTATCGATGGCGTAGAGGCTATGAGATAAGCTGTCCATACCTGTTGGAATACTAATGCTTCAGGAGATTCTTCTAGATGTTTAATAAATTTAATCCAGTACCTATATAAATAGTCAGCTAGTGAAAAATCTCTACTTAATACAAGAGTTGTGTAGTCGTCCCATCCATATAAACTGTAAACTAATCTTAATCCTGATGCATAGACATGTTCGATTTTTGATCTCTGTTTTTCGGTGTAATAAAACCAAGTAAACATTAACCAAATAAAGTGTGGAAGGGAAAAAGCGCAGAAAAGTTTTCTTCTTAGTCTAGTTTCATTTCTAGGTATTTAACTAAATATTCTTCTAAGTGCACAGTATGTGCTTCTCACTTTATTTAAACGGTTATCTATATGTGATGTCCATCCTAATTTAGTTCCAATATTTACTCCTAAACATTTGTAGTTTTTTACATATTGAACATCTATATTTTTATATTTTATTATAAGTCATAATGGTGCCACAGCGCTATGTACTAACATTACTTTGGTTTTATCTACATTTACTGGTAAGATGTGATCATCTGCAAATTTTTCTAAGTTTTTCATAATAGTTTTCGCTTGTTCTTCTAGGTATATTATGTTGTCAGACAATCGTTTCTCAAGTGCATCTGCTACTACCATGGTTAGATCATCCGCGTATAGATGTGTTGTTATTTGTGGAAAATATGAAGGAAGAAAAAAAATATGTAGCTTGAATAAAAGTGCAGCTAGTGTAGATCCCTGAGGCGCACCAACATAGGTCTGTATAGATCTAGATTCAGCATCTCCATGACTTATAGTAATTGAGCGATTATTTAACCAATTAAATATCCATTTCATTAAATCCTGAGGCATTTCTAGTTTCTCAAGGGTATTCAACAAAGCAGGGTACCAAACCCTGTCGAATGCAGTTTTAAAGTCGACAAATATGACTAATGCGGGTCGATTAGCTGTCGCTACTGTTAACCTAAGATCTTCAACGAGTGACACTATTCTGCTTTGAAGTCGCCTGTGTGATTCGAACCCAGATTGCTCATCTGTATGAATTCCATTTTTATCGCACCATCTTTCTATTCTTTCAGCAATAATCCTTTCTAACCACTTTCCTAGATTGGGTAATAGTGCAATTGATCTAAGACGATCATTCGTTGGGTAAATCCCATCTTTAGACAAACATATTCCTTTCGCTTGTTTACCTATCTCGAAGAAAGTACCTGTTTCAATACATTTATTAAATAATACTGTAATTATTTCTAGATATTCACTTGGAAGATTTTTGATCAGGTAAGCGGAAGTATTTACTTTATCAAGTGATTTTTTAGGAGCAAACTTTTTCCATTGTTTTAGTACTTCATCGAATTTTATATTCTCTAATGGTATATTCGGTAAATCTTCAATTCTTTTATAAGTTTCTATACATTCATTATGATATCGATTATTATTGTTGTGTATTGGTTTCTCAAAATGTTTTTCATAATAGTCTGCTAGCAAGGTAACTATTTCTTTATTATCTTTGACTATTCCTTCTGGTGTTGTAAGTCCTCTAAATGAAGGATTATATGGTCGAAATGTATTTTTTACTAACGCCCATATATTATTATCTGTTTTCATATAAGTTACTTTATTTTCTTTCTGTTTTAGTATGTAATTATTTTTCTCTTGAAGGAATATATCTTTCCAAAACTTAAAATCATTATAATGATTTAAGAATCGAGTTTTCCTGTATTTTATTTTGTATTTATTTACGTTTTTTGCTAACATTAATAAGTATGGTGGCCAGGGAGGCCTAAAGGTTTTAACATGTTTATATTCGCTTGATCGATCCCATAGTGCAGCTAAGAAAGAGGAGAAAATTTCAAAGAATGAGTTATGATCCATATTATATACTACTGAATTCCAGTATGGAAAAATAATTTGTAAGAAATAGTATAGTATTCTCCAGTTTGTAGCTCGAAAGTGGCCATTTTCAAAGGCTAAGAAGGGAGCAGCAAAAAGGACCGGATAGTGGTCAGAAGAACCTTCCTGTAATGTATCAGCTGTCCATCCATCTATATTAGAACCTATAGCAAAATCTATTACAGATTTAGATTTTTTTGATGTTGGTTTAGGTGGGTGTAATATATTTAATTCTTCTTTTTCTATCCATTCTTTTAACTGGTTTCCGCTTGTATTATTTTTTTCGCATCTCCATTCAGTATTTTTAGCATTAAAATCTGCAAAAATTAATAAATTTTCCTTATCAAGCTTATTGAATAGATCGAAAGGGGGTCTCATTTTAGGTGGAACGTACACAGCTGCTATATGTAATTTTTGTTTCAAAGTTTCTAATTCTATTAATAAAAAATTCTTTTCTTTATGTAAAACAGTACTTTTTAGTTTTTTATTTATTAGTATTGCAACTCCTCCGAAGCTGTTGGTTCCTTCCTGGCTGTGCCAGTAATAATGGGGTATATCAGGTAACTTTTTAATTTGTTTTCCTACTCCTGTTAGTATCATTAAGTGAGGAGCATAAGATGAGATCAGAATATGTAAATCTTCTTTATGTGTACTTAGACCTTCACAGTTCCAGAGTATCAAATTCAAGTTTTCAAAATTACTTTCCGGTCTTTTCTTAGTCCATTTCTTATTCAGATCAGATATAGAGAGCTTATTATTCCATTCGCAGATCATGGATAAAAGAATATCCTTCTCTTTCACAGTTCCATTAAAAAAGTTAATAGAGTCTTTATCTACTATAGGACATGAATATTTGAAATCTTGACTATTCATGATTTTCAGATAATAATTGCAGTGCACTTCCTATTGCTTCCTTTTGTTTAATGATCAGTGATTCTAGTGACCTTTGGTGCTTGATGTACGAAGTTTGTGTATCATTGATAAATGTCGTATAAGTAGAGAGCTCATTGAGAGTAACATCAAATTCATTTGTGTTTGCTTGAGTTTTGATTTTATTAATTACATTAACCATCGTATTTATAGTTTTTTGACATGTGAAGAATAATGTTTGATTTATTGCATTATTAATCGTTGTTATAATTTGAGTATGAGTTTCCATCTGCTGTTGAATTATTAACCAACTTTGTTTAACTATATTTTGCTGTTGTTTATATTTCTGTTCGATTTTGTTTTGTTCATCTTCGAAATTCTTTTTTAATGTTTGTAGTTCATTATCTAGCTCTTTGACTGAATCAGCTAAATTTGTATATTTTGATGGCATTTGAGGCCATGCTCTTATATCATTTCTCTCATATATTAATTGTTTTTCCATTTGTTGTAGATGATTTTCAGCTGATTTATTACGTATGACTTTTGTTCTTTCACCTTGTTCACGGAAGTCTGTTGGAATAAATAATTGAACACCAGGTGGTAAGAGATCTGGTCTATTTCGTAATTCTATTATTAACCGACGACGATATTCTTGAATGAATGGACATTTAAAATCGATTGCTGTATGATCACCTTTGCAATGGTGACACTGAATTGTACAATTTTTGTGTTCTTCTGCATTTGTGCGATCACCACCGCATCTCTTGCATATGTCGAATCTTGATGTTTGGCAATTTTTTCTAATGTGACCGGGTTGATTGCATTTTGAGCATATTAAAATTTTAGGAGAAGGCAAGTATTCATCTACGTCGTATGAATTTCCAAAAATAGATATTTTTCCAGAGTTTAACATTGAGATATATTCTTGTTTTTCAGATAATTCAATTCGGATGTGTCGATTACGATCATTTATTGTTCGGATAATTTCTTCTATCAGATATATCGATTTAAATTTTGCATTTATTTCTTCTTTAATATCATCAAAAGATATAGAATTTTTCACCCATTTTAATATTGCAGTAAATTGAGGAGGTAAATGTTTTGGTGGAT